TTGGCATGCTTGAAGTAGCAAATTTGTCTTTAGATGAACCAGATTTGGAGGTTGAAATTCTTGACGAGGATGGTCACGCTGACAAGGATGATATGGAGACTTGAAATGATAGCTTTAGAACTTTGGAACTTTGTAGCACTGTATTGGTCATTTGGGACTTTGTTTTTGTAACTTTTGTTGAACATTGGATCATTGGATGTAATTGACTTCATATTTATGCATTTATTGTATTTAGCATTTTTTGTGTTAAATTTATATATATCCTAAAAAAATATTAAAAAAAATTAAACGTATCCCCAACGTGTCCGTGTCCTAAGTTTTTAGGAATTGACGTATCGCCGTGTCCTGTCGTGTCCGTGTCCGTGTCCGTGCTTCTTAGTCCAATACTATTTGCTGTTTCTCTAGGCTATTCTCAACCAAGCACGCATTTCTTGACTCAGTTTCTAATTTGATCTCCCCTTCCTGCAGAACCAACACTTGAAGCTTTCTCTTCTTGCATATGTGGCCAAGCACAACTCATCACACCTAAAACACAGGCTTTTTCACGCTTACWTCATAATTCACATTGTTTTCAAAGTGCAACGTGCATCTTAAGGCGACAAATATATATAAATATAAAAGTGTGTAGATGAAWGTATTAATAAAACCATTTGATGAATAACTTAAATAATTGAAAAACTAAAGATATTAATATTTAAAAAATATGGTAAAAAAGTAGTTCGATTATAATCAAAGATTAGAAAACACATTTGTTGACCGAAATTAGACAAAAATTAAACAAGAGTAATCTTAAATACATATAGCACAGAGAATTAGAAATGCTGCCATTGGGGAGTTTTACTACCAAGCATGCATGAGAATACTACAAACCAGTGTTTTTAAAAGCTCGAGGCACACTAAAGCGCAATTTACCCATTTTTAATTTCATAGTTAACACTCCAATTCAGCGTGAATGCCCCAAGTGTCGTAAGCCACTAAGTGATCGAAGCTATTGCTTGAAACTTTATTGCTTGCCTCCCTGTCCACTCTCATTGGAACCTCCTTCCGTCTGAGCACTATATCTTATCTTGTGAATCTAGCTAAGTGATTGGAGCTATTGCTTGAAACTCCATTGCTTGCCTCCCTGTCCACTCTCGTTGGAACCTCCTTCTGTCTGAGCGCTATATCTCATCTTGTGAATCTAGCTTCTAAACAACTGTTGAAATCATCGAGCGAATATCTTCCTTATAGAGAGCCATATCCTTCACTCACTCTGGCTCTCTTCCATGGCGGACGATGCACCTGTACATTTTTGTTTCATTGCTTCGACTCTACTTTCCATTTTCTTATTTGTGACAATTTCCCATAAATCGTTTCTCTTATACCAATAATGTTAGATAATCGGAGAGGATTACAAGGATCAAAGGAGGTTTCAAGAGCTCTCTGCCTCCGCACACACTCTCACTAAAAAAGACTAGGCAAAAATATATCTCTCCCTCTCTCAACTTACTGCTATATACAACCTATTATATTCCCAAAATAACTCAACCATATCTAACTTGAGTCCACAAGTGGGACCACATAGTGCCCATTGTGCCCTTCTACCTCTTTTTCTCGCATACACGTAATAATTGGWGGCCCATCATTTTAATGGGCCCATTTCCAATCAACTTTTTGTAATCCTCTTGGCTTCGATATCATGCCCGCTTTTCATGTTTCTTCTTCATTGATAATAAAAGTTTTGTTCTTATTAAAAAAAATATATATA